ACTAGATGGGGGGGGAGGCGGGTGAGTGAGGGAGGCGCCCCGACTCCAGCCACCACCAAGACCAGTCTTAACACACTACACAGTCTCTTCTGGCACTTATACATACTAGTACATAGGTTCAATACCATCCCGCCTCTACTCTCACTAGAACCTGGAGCAGATAAACATCTTAAACACGTTCAACGTGTCTCTGGTGATACAAGTGATTGTCTGAGAAGAGTCTAGGATGGGTTGTATTAAGAGTAAGCAGGGTTTAAGCCAGGAGGATTTGGAATTCTTGAAAACGCATACGAGATACGATGAGAATACCATTAAAGAATGGTATAAAGGGTTTAAACAGGATTGTCCGAATGGTCGTTTGACCCCGCCCAAGTTTGTGGACATGTACAAACTCTTCTTCCCGTCGGGGAATGCGGAACAATTTTGTGATCATGTTTTCCGTACTTTCGACACCGACAAAAATGGTTTCATCGACTTTAGAGAGTTTTTGCTCGCCATCGACGTTACTTCTGCGGGCACTCCAGAGGAAAAACTAAAATGGGCGTTCAGGTCAGATTTTATAGGGCTATGATGTGGATTTTTTTAAATCCCCNGGGCTGACTGTACACATCCTCCTATCTCCTCACCAATACCACCACATTTAAATGTCCTTTCTCAACCTCCCCCCCACCCATTCTATCTCAGAGAAAGAATATTTTCTTATATTTACCATCGTTTGTCTCAAATTACAGATATTTATGCAAGTGTGTCCCAAAAGTGTTTATATTTTCTTTAACATGTCCAAAAAAATCTCATATAGTTCAAGTCAGCTTAAGAAAAATATAAATATTAACTATTTATGATATATTTCTTGTTATATGTACTTTTAATTTTATTAAATTTAAAAACATCTCTAAATGTGAACCATTTTTGTAAAATGTCATATTTTACCTAACCATAAACCCTATTTATTACACCATCGCCCCTTGCCCCACCCAAACTCTTAAATACCTCAAAATATTCAAACGTTTAGAACATATAACACATGTAACCTTTTTTTCAAAATATTTGAGTTTTTTCATGTAATACAATAAATCTTGCAAATTATATTCATATTATGACTTCACCAATTTCAAGACTTGTTTGAATGTAAAAACAAATTTATGAAAATCAAAAGTTAAAATTTTAAAATTCAGAAAATGAAATCTGATTCAGCTAAAAGCTTCTTTGGAAATTTAAAAGTTTGGAGAATTTTCTTCCCAAACATAAAAGTACAGGAATTACAAATTTATTATAAAAACATTTTCTAAGCATTGAAAAAAGATTTCTTAATTCTTATTTCTATTTCATGTCTCACCTTTACTTAAAACAATTATACATTACAGAAAATAAATTAGAATAAATTATATTTGTGGTTGGAGCATAATTAGTATGTGTTGCTATAAACATAACTCCCTATTTAGTAGAATTATTGATTCAAATAGCAGTTTTGCATCATGCCTCATGATCAGATAGAATTATATGGACCCCAATGTATAGACGACATTGATGCGTTCAATATTAAGTGGATCTGATGGTGTTACAAATAGTTTTACTAGTGACCTAATAAATCACTTAAGTAAAAAGGGTCTTCCTTCCATTGTTTTCTGGTTTCAAGTTTTTTTATTCTTGAGTGGAAAATAAAAACTAGAGGAGTAAGAAGGTCGTAAAGTCGAATCAGCAAGCCTAAGATCTTGTTCCACCACTAAAAGTAGAAATTATAATCTTGGCAAAAAAGTATGTTTAAAGGGACTGTGCGCCGAAATAAATCTAAGTGAAGAGGACCTTCACAATCTGAGTAACTAACTTGAACAGTTTTCATTCTGATAAATTCCTCTAATGTTTCTACAGCAAATCCAAAATTCAATTTTATATTGAAACTGAAGGTAAACAATATTTTCAAAGAGAAAAACATGAATATATCATTCATTCTTGATCGTAAAACGCTTTTTAGGATACTGTTGTGAATTGCACATGTCACGCTATAAACTGGGAGTCACTTTTAACATTCAGCGCTCTTTAAAGATAAAAAGTTTTTTTAATATTTACCGAGTTAGATTTGTGCCCTGTTATAAGGATTTATTTAGGTTTTGAAAAGCAGTAAAGTTTGCCAATCTTTGTTCAAAACAAACTTTTCTTCTAGTTATTTATTGGCTTTCAAATTTGTCTAAGGGATTGTTTAGAAACTTGGATAATGTCGGAGATAACTGTTATACAACTGTGGAGTTAACGTAAATATATTTAACAGACATTATCAATCAATATTAAAGAGACTGTAAGCATAATTTAAAGTTACTCTCCATGCAAAGATGGCAATACCCGATTCACAATGGTGCCTTAAAGCTTTATCCGATTAGGTATGAATTATATATCAATGTTTAAAATTTTGAAAAGTGATTATTTCCAATTGTGGTTTCTCTACAAAAGTGAAATGCTCATATCTAGGGCTGTTAAACTTAGGTAAAATTAGAATCTTATCTTTATCAGTTTATACAGTCTAGTGATGTAGATACTCCACCCAAAAAAATCTGTCAATATCCTTCTAACGCAAAGATTAATCACAATTTAGAATGATTATTTTTCAATCTTCATTCTAGATTAGGCAAAGCATTTTAAAGCACCGTTGTGAATAGGACATGCCATTCTATAAACGGAGTTTTTCACTTCAAATTACGCAGACAGTCCCTTTTAGATAAGTACAAGTTGTCACGTATTAACATTATTGTATCTGTTGGACTAATAGGCTTATTTTTACTATGACAATACTATTATCTCTCTCTCTATCAGAAATATTTATTTCTCACCAAATTTGTTCAAATTTAATATTATTATTTTATTTACGACAAAAAATGGGATCGAAGGTGGACAAGGGAATTAGATCTTTGCCACAAATTCTGATTTTCCAATCCCTATATCTTCGCAACCCAATGTCTTAGACCTTATATATTTCAAACTAAGTATACTGCAGTTAGATCAAATAATCTAAACTTGAAATATCAAAGGTTTACTCCATCAGGTTCTAAAGATTAGGGATTTAAAAATTTCAGTTTGTGGCTAAAACTTAATTCCTTTCCAGTTTGGGAAAATATTACCTCCCTTATTTCCCATGCGCTTCTTAAAGGTATAAAAATATTCTGTATTTGTTTTTGTTAATTTATTAATCTTTTTTGTTTTTATTTTGTACTTATTATTCTACAATGAATTCTCTCCTTCTCTTTATTTTCTGTTTCATGCATTTGGCCCAATATATTTGATTTTCCCCCTCTTTTCACTTTATATTCCCCATACCATTACACCCCCCCCCCTCCCCCTACACCCAAACATTTCTCCTTGGTATATGTTCAGCTTTAAGCAATACAAAAACTCTCATATATAGCCTTATATTTGAACTTATAATATTATACAAAAATAATACAACTTTTAAAATATGCAAATGTGGGATGGTTTGTGTGAATTAAGAGAGGGGTTGTGTGCAGTTTGAGTATGGTTGAGTGTGAGTGTGTGTGGGTTGTGAGAAGGGAGGATGGATGCTGTAGACTAGTAGGAGGCGGT